GACAACAAAGCCATGTGAAATCCAATGGAAGCGTCAGCTCTATTCATAGCATTGTGGGAAAATTGATCTACCAGTCTTTCATCACCTTAAACGAAATAGGGTGAATACATCTCATATAAGCAGCATTTTGTCGCCAGGTTTGACCTCAAAATTATCCTGTTTGGGGCACATTTTCAGGACTTGTATGGCATAGAGTGCCGTTAGCTCGAGCACGAGACTCTACCGTATTTCCAATCACCAGTCTTCATGTTTCGGCTAAACTTGTTTATCTAACTCCGAGTCTTGTGCTTTCCTCAGGTTCATTTGCACACTTCAGTAAGTCTGGAATTTGTCATTTCTTTACAAAACGTAAACTTATAAGTTTTATCGTGCTAATCAGGTAGGAGGTATTTCTATCTCGAGCATTCCCAACTGGTCGAAGCGTTGCGCCTGACGCAATAGTCACATTTATGCCATTCTTTGTTTGCAATTCTCACTACCGACTTTTTCACTCATCTCCAACCTATATTGCCAGTTAATCTCTCTATAGCTCATATAGACATTGAGATTCCAGCCGCTCTGGCGTAGTTAATACCGTTTATACCATATTCAAGGGCTCGCATATTGTGGCCTACTGCAAATTGTTCTTATGCGCCAGCTGTTATGTTCTTTATGGGTATTTAACAATACAGAGTTGGTTTTTAGGAAAATGCCGCAGTAGACTACAATGCAAAAATAGGCTACCTATTCACTATATCGTGCGTAAACTTAGCATAATTTATTTAAATGCCAAACGGAATCGTAGTTTATTATTAGCATTTAGATTCTTGGTGGTCTTGATCGGTTAAATGCAGCCGCAATTAAGACTTTAAGCATTGCAAAAATAATGGAGATAAATTTATGGGAAAATTCTTTTCTTTTAATCTAAACTCCACTGGTCCGAATCCTACTCGAAGCATGAACATTCCTTCCTTTGTAGGAGAAAGTGCAACTTTTCACAAATAAGGAAATGAAGACCGATGGAGCAAGTTATCAATTTAACTCAATACTGGTGACTTTGCAAGATTTTCAGAGCATCTTCCTAAATATTTTAATATTGAACTAAAAACATCGAGCAATC